ACACAGAACATATTCAGAAGACAAGTTGATAAAGTAAATTTTTAAAATCTGTATTGATCGATACAAGTGTGTATTGAACCTTAAACACTGTTCGATATGGTTTGAAATGGGTACATGTATTGTTGCTCCCCTAAGACTGATAGAAATGTTCACATGAAGTTAAAGAGAGCTATTTTTTTCAACAAATAAACATCAAACCAGTTTAAAATCTTCAAATCATCTAAGAAGCTTTGAGAAAACATTACTGAATGTTTGCAACATAGATTTTCTGCAGCATTCCCACAGTAGACACAGACATGTGGACAAATTGCTGGGAAACTGATGGAGGTGTGGAGACAAAGAAACAAAATCCTACCGAGGTCAGAACACTCTGTTTCTGTAGATATGGGAAAACTGAAATGTTTGAAGCCAGGTAAGGAGAACTGCTCTGCACAGAACAGGAAGTGGGTTAGTTCTCAAGACTCACAATTTTAAAACAGTTTGATTTACACAAAGACACTATTTGCTCATGTCTGCTGCTGTTGCATTTTATTTTTTTTGGGTTTAAGGGACTAACTGAGGGCCCATGTCAAGGAAGAGACTGCTCACAGTGTCTTTGTCTTCCTGCCAAAGGTGCACAGGTACACATGATATTGTTTTTTCCTTATTATTTTGTAAACAATGATAAAGAATTTTTTAAAACAATGCTTTCTTGATTTGCTTGGCAATAATCAGAAAAAAGAAAGAAATGCTACACTAGTCACATTTATTGTTATTATGTAATGTCAAAACGAAAGTAATAATTGCTTTTCATTAACAAACTTATTATTTTTGTTACWTGCTTGGAAACTTCGTAGGGAACTCCAGGGAAACTTGGTAGGCAAGGTCGTCAGGGACCAACGGGGCCAGTGGGAGCTCAAGGGCCACCAGGAGAGAAAGGAAGGAGAGGAGCAATGGGATTATGTGGGCCAGAAGGGACAAATGGAGATCCTGTAAGTGTTCATGAACATGTATGTTTAGAAAGTGACCAAAACACAAACTGCAGTGTGATGCATGCAAAGTGATTGAATTAATTGTTAAAAAAGTAAACATATTCAAAAAAGCTGCAATTCTTAAGGTAGGTTTACATAGATATTATAAAACATGTGTAATATTTTTCATTGTAATGCCACCATGCCTAAAACAAACAAACAAACAAACAAACAAACAAACAAACAAACAAACAAACAAACAAACAAAAACAGAGTAAATGCAAACTATTTTTTAACATTTCAGGGAGTGACTGGTCTTCCTGGTTTCACTGGTCATGATGGGTCACAGGTAAGTTAAACGCTAAAAGAACAAGAACTTTTATGAACAAGAGTATTTAGTCTCACAAACAAACAACATACAGTAAATGAATGTTTCACCCTTTGCCAAAAAAAATGATGTCAAGCAATGATTGAATGACCAGAAGACTACTTAAGGCACAARTATAAAGGAAAATATTAATATTTTTCACCTATACAATGTAGTCACACACAGTTGTGTTAAAAGCTGATGTTCCAACAGATAAATCATTTTGGTCTGGTTCTGTAAATGGTACATATAACACAAGGCATATTTCTTTAATATACTGTAATCTTCTCAGTTTGGATTGAAAGGCCACAGTTGTCACTTTAAATAATCTGCAATTATAACCCAGCATCACTGTCCTCTTTTCCTCAGGGTCACCCAGGGGCAGGTGGTGAGCCAGGTTTGCCAGGGGTGGATGGCTGTAATGGGACAGGAGGTCAACCAGGACAGCCTGGTTTACCTGGTCTGGATGGCCTTCATGGGCCACCAGTGAGTACAGCTACTGTTGTGGTGTAWAAATTTGTCCAAACAAAGATAAACAGCAAATGTTATTATGTCCTCTTCCCAAGACATGGACAGACAAAACATTCTCGGATAAAAAATGTGAGACTTWACCATTTTCATTTCAGGGAATACCTGGTCCAAAAGGAAGTAAAGGAGAACCTTTGTATGATGGTACCCTGCCAGGTCTTCCTGTAAGTTATATTCTACAGATTTACAAATAAATAAATAAATAAATAAAAAAACGAGTTCCATATTATTGTTAATATTCTGCTATACTCATTAAAATTAATCATTTCCATTCTCCCCATTTCACAGGGAGAGCGTGGGACAGATGGAGACCCTGGTCCACCTGTAGGTTTTAGTTGTTGATTTGATGATAGAAGTATGATTTTCAGTAATATATCGTCAATTAATAATAAAAAAAAACTATGATTTGTGTGCATGAGGCAAACCTAACATCATATTTATTTAATTTTATTCCATTTACTTCWTTTTTTCAGGGAAGACCAGGGGACATTGGACATAAAGGGCAGATTGGTCCACCAGGCCTTCCTGGGTTTCAGGTACAAATTATTTTATGCTTTTCTAGATGAAAGTAATATTTTAAGATTGTACATTTGTAACATTATGCAGATACACKATTAATGGTATGTGAATCTCTTTAGGGTTCGGACGGGCTTCAAGGTGCAAGAGGACCACCAGTAAGTAACAAGCTTCAGAAATGCTGCTAGCATCAAAGAAATTATTGTTTGTTTACACAAATTAAATATTTAGAATGACACATATTTCACAAAGTTCTGGTTGTTGTACAGGGTGATCCAGGAGGGTCACTCCGTGGGACTAAAGGTGACACTGTAAGAAAAGATTTTGTTTATTAGCAACTTTTTATTGAGGTTTTCTGCTGTCTTTGTGTTTATCTTTAAAATCTCTTCTTATCTATACGTCAGGGTGAACAGGGCCCACCTGGTCCCCCAGGACCAGAGGAAGTGGTTGTTCTTCCTCCAGAGTTCCTTCCCCCTAAAGGTGTCAAGGTGAATAAAAAAATGCTTATTTATTATCATTGTCAAACATCTCAATTTTATTCTTCATTTTATTTTTCTTTCTTTCTTTCTTTCTTTCTTTCTT